TACCTGAAAAAAAAAATCAGTGATTGCACAAAATTTCCCACTAACGCTCCAATGGCTAGGATTTCATAGAACAGCCAGCAATACCCAAATACCAGTCCTTTTCTGCTAACATCTCAGTCAGAATATCCCATAGTCTTCACTCAGCAAAGGAAGCATTAGATTTCTTATTATGTAAGTTTCCTCGGCCCTCTTCTCACTGACAAGAAATGCAATTAGCATCTCTCTGAATCTCCTCGGGCTGCTATCACAAAATACCACATAGACTAACTAGGTGACTTATAAATGACAATTTCTCACAGTTCTGGAGGCAGATTCAGTGTCTGGTTAGGGTCCACCTTCTGGCTCAGAGACAGTGCCTTCCCTCCATATCCTCACATGGTGAGAAGAGCAAAGCACTTCTCTGGGCTTTCATATAGGGACATTAATCCCAATCACCAGGGCTCTGCCATCATAAAATAATCACCTCTCAAGGACCCCACTTCCTGATACCATCACGCTGGTGGTTATGTTTCAACATACACATTTTGGAAGGACACAAACACTCAAACCGTAGTAACATCCTTACAAGGAGACAGTAGACCTCATCGGCTAGACTACAATCCCTAATTCAACCCAGATGTGCAAAGTCCCACTGGACTCAGCAAGTAATTAATTGCAGAAGTGGAAGGTCTATCTTTAAGAAGAAGAACTCATTAAAAAAAAATAATAATAAATCACGTAAAAGATCAGATAGCAAAAGACAAAAATATTGTTCATAATTATTTTAAAATCTAAAAGTTTATAAAATTAAATTTTCACATTTATATGCATATGTTGTTTATATAAGCCAGAGAAAAGTCTGGAAAATACTGTATACATACTTGCCTGTTATACAAGTTATCTCTTGGCGACTAGCAAAAACGTTTGGACACTATTTTATTTTTTCTCTTATTCATTTTTAAAAACATTTAACTGAAAGCATGTATGACTCTGAGAATCAGGGAGGAAAAGCTTTACTACCCAAAACAAACAGATTTACAAATAGGTCACAGTAGGAAGGAACCACCTAGGAAAAAACTACAAGTTGCCAAAGCAGTAGTACTTCTTTAGGCTTTGTAAGACTGCCATCTGCTGGAATTTTAGGGAATGAACTTAAAAAATTAGCTCTTTTTTTAAGCCATTGAGATATGTTCAATACTAGAAAGAAAAGAAAAAGCAACTCCCTTCTAAATTATCAAATTAATGAATTAAAGTTATCTTATTTAACTAATAATCAGTTTCCAGGGGTGGCGCCTGTGGCTTAGTGGGTAGGGCACTGATCCCATATACTGAGAGTAGCGAGTTCAAACCCAGCTCCAGCCAAACTGAGACAAAAAAATAGCTGGGTGTTGTGGCAGGCACCTGTAGTCCCAGCTACTTGGGAGGCTGAGGCAAGAGAATTGCCTAAGCCCAGGAGCTGGAGGTTGCTGTGAACTGACGCCATAGCACTCTACCAAGGGTGATAAAGTAAGACTCTGTCTCAAAAAAAAAAAAAAATTAGTCTCCATAAAGTCCCCCAGTAAGAAGGCAGTTCTACAAGGCATAAAGAAGAAATTTAGAGCCCCAGAAGTTATCTGAACTAACCAAACTTTAAAAAAATACTAAAATATCAAATGAAAATGAAAAATGTATTCATATAGCTAAGTTCATACTTTTCAAGAGGTATTAAATGTTTATTAAATCTCAAAACTAACATTTCAATGTCATTGAAAAAAACAAAAACAAAACCATACTGAGAAAAACCTTAGCATTTTTGCAATTATCATTCACATTTTGGGGGTTTTTTTCCTCAAACAAGTATAACATAACTATAGCAAAATTATGATTAAATGCAAGGCTTTTATATCCATTCAATAGATATTTAAAAGATATTTAAACTTTATAGAATGCATAAGCCTGCATATTAAGCCTTTCAGAAGTAATATCTGCAACCCGGTCATCCTTAGAATTAAATTGATTGTGAATTTCAGTTGCTAAAAAATGTCACTGTTAATGTATCACGACGCACACATTCTTAATGAAATGCAACTTTTTTCGTCAAAATCACAGAAGCAAATATACCTTTTAGAAGCAGACTTTTAAATAAACCATACTGACAAAACAGTCCACAGAGAGCAGTGGGGTCTAACAGAAACCAGCTGGTGTTTCAGGCTTCTCAGTGAGTCATCACCATACTCAAAACAGGTTACTCTACTTGAAATGACTCACCTTTTACAAAAAGACAACAATCACATCACGGATAATCACATTAGCCCAGCATTTTGAAATTGGGGAAAAACACCATCAACACCGGACACTCTGACCCTGGTTGTCCTGCCTAGGACTTAGTCACTGACCTCCTAAAGTCACAGATACAGAGCCCCCATGGACAAAAGTGCATCCATTTTGAAATATTTCATTTATTTACAAATACCATAGGATTATAAAATATCACGTACTGCTACAATTTCACACTTAGGATGAACAGAGCTACAAATACAGCTTTTTTAACCAGGTGAAGTATAATTTTTACTTTTTTAAACAAAGTTCAGGTGGCATATTTATGTATCCAGGTAGAACATGACAGATTCATTTATTTGTATATTCATTTCTTCAACAGATATTATTTAGCACCAACTACATGTTAAGACTACACTATCAGTAAAACTATACACAGACAACTGAAATTATTTCAGTGTTTATTGAAGTAAAGGCAAATACGTGGTAAGGTTTCACCCAGTTTTTTTCCATCCTTGGTACAGATGGAATTAAG